GGGTAAGTCCGCTCGACTGACCGGTCCGCCCCCCTGTGTCCTCCCCTTGGGCTGCCCGGGGATCCCCTTGCTCCCGGGTTCTGCTGCTGGCGCCTGCCCGGCCGGAGCCACAAGCTCCCGCGTCCCGGAGCCCAGCGCCCGGGCACCGGAGCGCACAGTTTGATCTTGTCCTCCACCCCCGGCAGACGTCCTCCCCTGCGTGGTTCACTTCTCACCTGAAAGCCCGGACCCAGGAGACAGGCGAGTCTAGAGAAGCGGGGTGTCCGGGTGTGCATTTGTGCGACCCCCGCTTTCTCCCAGGGTGGGTGTAGTTTTGGAGGAAATCATGGAGCGTTGGGGCAATCCGACCTATCTAGGGATTTTGCCACTATATATATACACACACACACGTATATTTAAAGGCAGGGGTTACTGTTTTCAGGAGGGCTGGTAATGGTGAGGGGGCGATTTCTTTTTTCTTTCTTTCCTCTGAACTAGTGGGGAGAAGGAGAAATAGCAGGAATCAAAGTCTACGCGGCTGCCATAGAGGAGGGGGATTGTTTTGGAGACCTTTCTATGGCTGAATCAAAGCTTGTAGCGCTGTGACGGGAATCTGGTGTGCTTACACACACTCATTCCGTAGGGAAGGGAACGCATCATTTATAACGAAGAGTCAAAGTTGTAGAAAACAATTTTAAAAGAAAGCCAAGAACCGATCTGAGATCATTTGCTTTCTCATAGATTTATTGTAGCTTTTCTATAGGCGGGTAGAAAACTTGCGTTGCTTCTCTGCGACGTTGATTTTCGTGTACAAACACTAACAAGTGAAGTCAGTTTTCTAACGCTTAGAATAAATCTTGACCCACGGAGTGTGAGTTTGGCTTTCATTAATTGGATGATCCAGGATTCCGAATAGTGTTATAGTTCCCTTCTCCAAAACCAGGAGTCTCCCAATCCACTTGTATTGTTTCCAGTTTGCCTCCCAGTACACTAATTGCCAAATGTCTCCTCAGTTTTCAAGAATTCTTAGAGTGATGCCTTCAGCCTGGTGTTCACTTTGCACCTTAAGTACCTAGGAAGATTCCTGAGGGATCACTGTCCTTGTGTTTCCTCTTAAAGTTTTTTTTCCCCTTCCTTTCTTTTCCATGCCCAAAGACAAAGTGCCAGCGACTTAACAGAGCATAGCTCACACATTTTCAGCCTCTCAGAGGCTAGTAACTGTTTGTGACTTGAAATAGATTTGCTGTTGGATCTAGGGAGCTATACATGTGGACTTTACCCTTTGGTGTATTCTTGCTAACCATCCTGTAGCACACCTGTGAGGAGTTAGTTCAGCTGTAGATACTTCTGACCATTTTGACTGTTCTCTTTTTCCAAGTGCACACACCAGCCAGTCAACTTGAATAAAGCCAGGGTGATGTGCCAAGACTTGAAACGTTCAGATTTAAAGGGGCCTTTAGATGATATCAATTTAAAGATTATGTTCTGCAGGGGTTATGCTATTCAGGGAAATGCTTAGTAGATATTATACTTTTTTGGAAAACACGTTGTGTTGTATGCGGCAGATAGATATTATAGCACAAAGAGAACGTATTTCCAATGGTCCTTGTCCGAATTCTTGAAACAGCTATCCTAAATATACAAGAAAATTTCCCTACCTCCCACCTCCCATAATTATGTACTGTAGTTTGCTTTTCAATGGAGCCAAAAATTCTGTGACAGATTTCTTAAATTCACCCTCATGCTATCTGCTATTATTGTACTTTCAAAGTGTGAAATTGACAAGCTGGTCAGTTTCATGAATTCAGCTGTCAGATTGTGTCCAGTTAAAAATTGCTAAAAGCTGTAAATGTGCCTGCCTGGAATTTTCTTTTGTGAAGCAGATAGCCAGGGGATGGGGAATTCAGAGGTGTTATTAATTGTAGATCTTTAAAAATAGGTGCACTCCTCTATGAGTTTTATCACTGGTTGTTGTTGGAAAATATGTTTAGATTTCTACCACTGTAGAAGTGGCATTGAATTTTTATCTGTATCTCATTTTTAATGGTGAACACTTTTCAGAGCAATAATCTGTTTTTAAAGCTCTCACTAATAATGGTATAATAGGGATGATATTCAAAGATGAAAAGTGTCTTTTTCAAATATATTTTAGTATAGTTGGGTAATATATTACTTTTGAAATGACATGTAAAAGAGGTGGATGAATTAAACATTTATTGTGGAGGTTATGTAACATAAATTATTCTTGGGGCAGTGCAATTGTACAGTTACCAAAGTAATTAAACACAGTGGTCTGTTTTAATATGTATGCATTATAGAAGATAACTGTAGATCTAAAACTATTTAAAGTATTACATGCAATGATTTGATTTGTCTTTTAAGATTGATACCCATTTAAAACCAGAATATCCTAAAGTCGAGAACTAAGAATTGGAATTCCCTCATCTGCTGCTATTTGCTAAGCCACTAGGGGCCTGTATAACTGTTCTTATATCCAGGAGCTACCCTGGTATGGCATATGCAAACTCTTCCTAGAGAGACATTTTAAAAAATTCAAGTAGGCAAGCCTCCAAGTTTTTTTTTTTTTTTTTTTTCCCTCTTTAATACATTAACCCATGCCCTCATGATGTTAGTCATAGACATCCATTGAAGGATATTTTAAGAATGTTTTTTAGGGCTTTTCTGACACCATAGTGGTGTAAAGATGCTTTTTCATGTACATATGAAACATAGAAAAAATGTAATTGTGCAAATTCGTATGCGATACCAGTTTCTGAGTCTATGGCAAGGATAAACAGGAAGAACCATGAATAACTTTTCTTTATTGGGCTGATAAGGATGTTATTTGCATAAAGTAGGGTTAAAAGATAAATGAAGCAGAATTACTTTAAGGGAAGTGTAGGCATAGATTGATGGTGTGATTAAACTAGCTTTGTAAGTGCTGCACAAGTTTGTATGGAAGGAGAATCTGAGGCTGTGACTATAGTTTAGTCAGCACTTGAGGGACCTGGAGTGAAGATGCACCATACATTTTTAAATGTCAGTTTCACAAATTTGAAATCGACCAGCCATGGCAATCTTGATAGACATTAGGCAATAAGGTCAAGTATACTTACAGTGTTCCTTTGTTGATTTTCAGTTTTTCAAACTGACAAGGGTGACTATTGGAAAAGAGCACACTCTGAGTATTTGCATATTGGATTTCCTTCAGACGAAACTGGACGTACCAAGCCATTCAACAGTTCTGTTTTTAAAAGGATTTTATGGATAAATGAGAAATCATTAAAATGGTCACGTGAATATGATAAGTACCATTTCAGGAAAGGTGGATTTCTCAAGGTGATTTTGTTTTCAAACTATAGTTTCAGTGTGTATTTTGGATAGTGCAGGCGTTCAAGTATGTGTGCTCTAACTAGTGATCCTGAGGGCTTCGGACTTTGCAGCTCCTGTTTTTAAACTATATAACCTTTAGTTATGGTGCCTTTTTAACTTGTAAGTTTCTGAGAATTTCAAAAACGAACTTTACCTTTGATGTAATGTACCTAACTTAGTGGCTACAAAATAAACTTTTAGATTTGTAGTGCATCCCAGATATATGAACTGCATAATATAAATATATAGTTAACCAGTTTTCCCCAAATATTCAAAGAATGCTTTATTTTTTTTCCTATTTCATTAAAGGAATAGTTGTTTTTGGTCAAAAAGGCTAGCATGAATCAATGAGTTATATTTTAAGCCAAGCTTGCTTTGAATCTGTTACTGCCTTATGGAGTTATTTGCCTTTTCTTTGTTAAATCTTTCCTTTGAAAAAATTTTAAGACAGCTACTTACTTGGGACAGCACAAAGACAACTTGCAGCCTCCCGCAAAATCAGTATTTAAAAACATTCCTTTTTGTATTATTAGTGATTTGCCAAGAATGAGCAAAGACAAGAGTTGTTCTGTCTGCACTGCAGGCTTGAGGATTCCTATATAACACACCAGCTGAAGAGATCTGATAATGTGGAAGGTGATTGCTTAGGAGGGATTTGTCAGTAAATTTTATTCCAACAGGCATCACTTGTTTAAGCTTCTGTAATTTTATAGCACAGTGACATTTCTAGCAAAGGATAGGTTTGTTTGGGGATATATTTTCTATATGGATAATCTCATTTGCTTCTAATTAGTAGTTGGTAACACTTATTAAAATGTCATGCTTGACTTGCATTTGCTTCAACAATGAAAGTGTCCCAGTCCGCCTCCTTTTTTTAAAAAAAATAGAAATGCATTTCAGCTCTTCACAATTAAGCCCTTAAGAAAGATAGCTAAAAGAATATATAGCTTGTGCTTGCTGATTGTTCATTATATGAAATTATAGCCTCAGATGTAAAAGTTCAGCATTTTCTTTGCGTCATAAGTCTTGGGAAGGTCAAAGAGCAAATACTTACACATTACAGCAGTCTCTGACCTAATGTAACCTAAATAATAATGTCATGACAATGGTGTTGGACTGGCGCATTAATGAAATAGAATTCTTACAAGACATATTTCAGAAAATTACAAGTAAGGCCTATTTCTCGTGGTTCTCCTTTAATAAGTTACCTGTTTGCTT